TGAGGGGGGGTGAGGTCCTACCTGAGACCTGGTAGTGGTAGGTGAAGCAGGTGCTGTTGAAGATGCAGGACTCTGATTGGACCAGGTCTGGACAGGCAGGGTTCTGTGAGGCGGGGGGGCGGAGGACGTTCCTGCTCCTGTTCCTCAGCGTCCCCTGGTCACACTGCTGGAGGACAACCACAGGACGGGGGGGATGTTGAGGACAGGCTCTCGGCTCCGACCACAGACCAGGAAACAACTCATATTTTCATATGAGTTGTTTCCTGGTCTGTGAAAATATTTCATGTGGAAAGTCCATTATTTACAGCAGTCAAAAATAGAAACGAAGCCTTCGACCACGGACAACAACAGACCTGCGGCCTGTGTGAGCGCCATCTGCTGGGTCTGAACAACAACCCAGAGTTACACACACTTTTATATCCACTGTACGATGACAGCACATACACGAACTCTCAAGGACACGCTGGGTGAAAACCTCTGTGAGAGTGAAGGACTGGAGAGAAGACCATCACGTGGACGCACTCCCTGGAACGAAGGCTCATCTTAATGACCATCACAAACCAACCAATCAGCAGAAACACTGAATACTGAAAATAAGGGAAGTTAATTCACAGTTATATAGTAGTACTACTAGTACTACTGTTCTAGTGAAGATGACTGTACACGTACATACACACACATACATGTACATATACACACACATACATGTACATGGTTCACTGACGGCAGTGAACCATCATCACGTGTGTGTGTGTGTGTGTGTGTGTGTGTGGACCCAGCTCTACTTCAAAACGCTGCAAAATCAAACTCTCTGTTCTCTGATGAAGTCCTTTATCCACGGTGGAGGAAACAGAAAAGGCCTGAGAGCAGGAGTTCAGGGTTGTGTTCAAGGTCCTCGTCTTTGTTCAGCCTCTGTGAGAACAAGAGCCTCAAGAGGAAAGAACGCTGAAGAAACTGAGCTGCGTGTGCCGTGAAAGACAGTCAAGACGGAGGAGGACGATGGTGACTCATCATCAAGCACGAGCGTGGAGAACTTTGTTAGAAAAACACTCTCTGAACGTCAACGTCAAACCCAGGAATTTGACTTTAAAGGCAGATCACAACACATCAACAACCTGGACAAGAAGAAAACCATCCCAGTGTTCCCTGTACAGATGAACACCACAGGAAGTCTGGGACCACCTGAAGCAGCAGGTCATGACCCCCCCCAGCCCTCCCCCCTCGGTGTGTTAGAGCCCCCTGACCCCCCGGGGGTCTTACCAGAGAGCAGCGGCTCCAGGTCCCCCAGCTGGACACGACACAGTCTTTAGGACAGGCCAGGACGCAGACCTGAGCTCTTGGTGGCGCCTCCTCCTGGTCACACAGACCGTCGTCCACAGTGACCGTCTGTCCACTGGTGTCAACCCTGACGCACCTAAGACTCCCCCAACAGACCACAGACCACAGACCACAGACATTTTAAGGTCTGGACGACAAAAAAATACCAGGACGAAACTGAAAGCTGTGAATTCTGTTAAATATATAAATATATATAAATATAAATGTAACTCATTTGTTCATGATTAATCGTGATTAATCCACCAAAATACTAACAGCAGTGTTTCATGTCTGTTTATATTTTATATGTTCAAAAACTGTTTTAAACATTTCATAGTCCTGGTGGATTTCATGTATATATTCATGTATATATTCATGTATATATTCATGTATATAAAGTACACAACAATAAATGTTTCCAGACTTTATACATAGTTAAAAGTTATGGACAATATGCCTTAAGTCAGGGGGGTCAAACTCATGGTTCAGGGGCCACAAACCTGATCTTGCGGCTCTGGACCCCCTCCCCACAGACCAGCAGGTCGTCCACTGCATTGATGGTACAGATGGACCAGGGGTCTGGTCTCCACTCAAACTGGCTGCATTTACTGTAGCACGGCACAGCCTGGTACACCTGGTACACACACACACACACACACACACACACACACACACACACAGAATACACACATGAAACAGGAGCACAGGTGGTGCGAGGGTGTATTTATCCATTGTAGTGTTGAATGTAAACTCATGCTGCGGCTGAGATGATTCATTATCGACTCTTTGTCTTTTCATGTTTCTCTAATGAGGTGTCACTGAAAGAAAACTATATTTTTCACACTGGAATGTTTTTGTATAAAAAACTCAAAAAGAGAATTCTCACCATAACCAGTACTAGTCTCACCATAACCAGTACTAGTCTCACCATAACCAGCACTAGTCTCACCATAACTAGTACTAGTCCACACTAAGGCCTCATGGTAACTGATGGCTCTGATGAGTTAACTATGAGGGGAAGTCAAAAAGTTCTGAGACAGGTTGAAAACATATAAATATGAGGTAATATAAAATAATAACAGACTTCAGTCTAAACATCTGGGTTTGTTTTTTTATTTTTTAATGACGGCTTAAATATATAAAAAACTATTATATACAAATATTATTGACATCCAGTTGTGGACCGTATGTTGGGGGTTTATGGTCCAGAAGAGGGCCACGGGCCGGGAGTTTGACAGCCCTGATATAAGTTTGAATGATAACAGATGTCTGTGAACTTTTGGACTCATCATGTTATTGAACATCAAGACGACAACATGCAGAAGAAGAAGAAGAAGAAGAAGAACCTGAGAGTTTCTGTGAACAAACTGAGCAGAAATCATTTACCGTCCAATAAGATTTCTGTCTGATGCTGTGATAGGAACGGCCGTGGCCAAAGATGACACTGGCCAAAGGTCAAGCCCCCCCCCGTGCCCCCCCTCACCCAGGGACCCTGGTGTGTCAGTGTATCCAGCATCTCTGTAAGAGGCCGCCACAGTCAGAGGTTACTCTGGAGGAGACACTTGAGGAGGAGACACTACGACCAGCTGTAACTGGGTGTGTGTGTGTGTGTGTGTGTGTGTGTGTTCTCTCCCCCACGGGCCACACAGATGCCTATTACACCCCCTCATCATCTTCCATCTGTCCCTGCAGATGCCCCTGCTGGGTGAACTGGCAGCTGTGCTGCTCCCACTTCCTCCAGTACCACTTTAGTATCAACAGCCTTAAAAAAACCTCTCATCACTTTCTCAAAGAGTTCCACACACTGAGCACTGACGGCACCGTAGACACACACTGAATTATTATGGGATGTCGCACAGCACGACAACGCAGGCAAACCTCGGCCGTGAGCGCCGCACAGCAGCGTCGGTGGAGCGCCACCTACAGGTTGTCTCTGAATCAAGGCTGTACTGTACATCGTAGTAACACGTCTGACACCAACCTGACTCTGACCAATCAGGGAGCAGATGGAGAAGAATTATCATGATAAGGAATTCCACTTGCGTGGGAATCTTTGGATTCCAGCTGTGGCTGCGTCTCCAGATGAGACGAGGGACGAGGGACGAGGGACGAGGGCCGTGGTCACAGAGTTCTGTGGCTACGACTGGTATTGCATGCACTTCCACTTAATCAGAACAGAGTTGATGCACGTACAGAATGAACAGCACTGACCTGAGCCTGCGTGGAGGTCCACATTAGCAGTGCATGACAAGCAGAAGTTGGGCAGGAGAGAGAAGAACAATGACACGATCGTTAGTTTGGATTTGACCGCAGTGACAGAAATGTACAGATGGTTGTTGGTTTATTTTCTGCAGAACCTCATTGATTTTAAAAAAAAAGATGTCATTCTGCTCTGAGCCTCATTAGTGAGGTAAATACTTCATCATCTGTAGCCACAGCATCACCTGGTGGTGCTGACACGTTACTGCGAGAGTTTAAAAGTCAACAGCTGTGCAGTGGTTAAAGCTGCAGCTGAAGCCACACAGGAACTGGTTAGTCTGTGGAGGAGCATCTGCTGAGAGACGCTCCCTGGATCTGGACAAGGTCATTAAAGGTCACCGTCACGTTCTTCACAAGTTCTACCTCCAGAACATTCACTTCACTGTGGAAACACAGGGGCAAGATGTTCACCAGACGATGGGCATGAGAAGAACATCCATCCAACCAACCATCCATCCAACCATCCATCCATCCATCCATTCACCATCCATCCATCCACCCATCCATCCATCCATCATCATCCATCATCCATCAATCCATCCATCCATCCATCCATCAATCCATCCTCCGCCCATCCATCCGTCCATCCATCCATCCACCCATCCATCCATTCATCATCCATCCATCCATCCACCCATCCATCCATCCATCATCATCCATCATCCATCAATCCATCCACCCATCCATCCATCCATCCATCCAACCATCCATCCATTCATCATCTATCCCTCCATCCATCATCCATCCACCCATCCATCCACCATCATCCATCATCCATCAATCCATCCATCCATCCATCCATCAATCCATCCTCCGCCCATCCATCCGTCCATCCATCCGTGGTGCAGGGCTTGAGTTCCTTCGGCTCAGATCAAACTTGTCCTCATTTCTGGTTACGAGGCAACAGTTAATGATCATAAAATTTAAAGTCTCACAATTTTATAGGGAGAAATATTTGGGAGCTGACGCTCCCTGGTGCACGGCGTGACACCGGGGGTAAATGGCGCTGTGGTTAATATACATCTCCTCCACTCAGAGATAATGGCTGTGGCTTTCATCCAAAAAACATGATGAGACCTAATGCACCAGCATAAATGAATACTTTATGTTCCCACGCAACCATGCATGGGCATACATATAAAGATGAGGCCACCCCCCCACACACACATGGACACACACACACACACACGGACCGGCTGCTGAGCCAATCAGAACCAGCGACCAGTCGGAGGAACGCGGTGGAATCTGTTCCCACGTGAGGGTGAGTTCAGAGGCAGCTGTTGGTGAGAACACTGTCACCAACAGGAAGTGGAACCTCAGCAGGCCTAGACCGCTGGGGCCGTGGCACGACCCTCCCACCCCCACACTCACACCGACACACGTGTTGGACTGATTTACTCTGTGAACGTGAACAATTCTTCCATTCAAGTCAATGAAAACAACCACCACCACCAACGGGGTCGTCATCTAAGGTCAGAGGTCAACAACAGATTGAAGTGGTTGAAGTCATGTTTTCAGATCAACTTTTCAGTAAACATGTCTTCGTTTCTTCATTGTTTTCACTAAAGCCCCCCCCCCCTGAACAGGAATCACTTCATCGTCTTTAGAAATCCAGCTGGAATTTACAGTTTCATAAAACAAGAACCGACCAGGGTTAAAATAGAACGCCATTATCAGCTGTGGAAAGTTCCAGAAGTAAAACGTCTTTTCAAACGTAATGAGTGACAACCTTTGGAAGTGAACGTGAACCAGAACAGACGTATCAGTGTCTGCAGCCACGGCGCTGCCTCCAGTGGCCATTCTATTTATGACTCAGGCAAAAAACACAAAGTTAAGAATTTCAAAAACACTTCAAATGAATGAGAGAAAATTAAAATGTTTTTGACGCTGATTCTCAACTTTTTATTTTTCTTTAAAAACTACACAAATACACAGTTTTTAGAGCCATTGAACTGAGCGGCGGCGACCGTGGTTGCCGTGGCGACTCGACTACACACCAGACTATCAGCTAATGATAAAGTCTTTAAAACGACCACTGACGACGAGCCCAGAGAGACAAGAGAGCTGAAGAAAGACAGATCCAAAACCACTGTTTGGCAACAATGAAGCGTGTCCAGAAATGTGGGGCAGTTAAGCTGCCTTACAATGACCCAGAGGCAGCAGTGACACAGATGAAAAGGCAGAGACTTCCCTGTTAGAACCTGGGCTTTTGGTCAACTAGATTAGTCACCGCCTGAGGGTTCTAAGAACCTGTCAGGAGCAGCGGGACGTGAAAAGGAACATAATTGTTTCTTCAATAACTGACAGAGTTAAACTGTTGCCCTATAATTGTTGCTGTTGCTGATTGAAGACTTGTTGGAGGAACAGGTCGTGGAGGGACGAAGGACAGGGACGTGTTGCTGAAGCTGGATCGTCTGGTTCTGGTCTGAGAATCAAAAACTGAGGCTGTGACGTTTGGATTCACCGTGATTTCTAATTCAATTTGGATTTTTTTAATCTAAAAACATACAAACATTTCTTTATCTTTATCATGTCAGTTATCTGTACATTAGACCATGTGTGAAGCATAACACACACACACACACACACACACAGTACAGGACCAGTGAGGATGGAGTCCATGCCCCGGGTGTTACCAGAATTAAAAATAACCTCCAGAGTGACACTGGACAGACGGCAGCGTAGTGCAGCGTTGTGCAGCGTTGTGCAGCGTTGTGCAGCGTTGTACAGCGTTGTGCAGCGTAGTGCAGCGTGGCGTTGTGTGGAGGTGGTGTAAACAGGAGCTGAAGCCTCAGCGTTTGGCAGCAGGAACTGCTGCAGTAATGATGAAATTCAAATGTCTCCTATAATTACACATCCAATTTGTGTGTTTCTCTGGGAGATCCACTTTTGACACTAACTGTGGAGGTGGTTGGACACAGTGGACTCACACCGTGGACGGGGAAGAAAAAAAACTGTACAGTCGCAGTAACTGTGAGTATTTTTACTACAAACCTCCAGGTGAAGGCGGTAAAAGATTAGTAACAGTCGCATCAACACACGTCTAATGATGGATGGATGGATGGATGGATGGATGGGTGGCTGGATGGATGGGTGGGTGGCTGGATGGATGGATGGATGGATGGATGGATGGATGGGTGGGTGGCTGGATTGATGGATGGATGGATGGATGGATGGATGG